TTAAAGAGATTTTATGGAATAATAGGTACATCATTTAATCAATGCTATACGGTTTAATTATTAGATTGAACAATAGAATCAAAAATCATCAGCCAGATATATATTTTTAGACAAAATGGACACACATTTTGTCGTATCTGCCTTCGACCATGAATGATGGTTTGGTAGGTAATTCTGTTTAATTTATCATAATCAGATTCATCGTATATTAAAATGCAATTATTATAAATGAAAGTGATTACAATTTCTGATGAAACTTATTTTATGGGCACCTTTTTTTATAACTTTGTCAGAATATTTCAGAATTGGAATAACCATTAATTTAATATATCTTTTGTTTATTGCATGCATTTTTAACTTCCCGTAGGGTAAGTTATAGTAATCGCAAAAAAATCGAAAATAATTTTTTTTATTTATCTGCGTTTCAGAGGTTTCTGAATATTTTGGCATACCTTAGAAAAAATGGATGTATGTGTATGTGATTAAAATTTCTGATGAAACTTATTTTAAGGGCACTTTTTTTAAACCTTTGTCAGAATATTTTAGAATTGGAATAATCATTAATTTAATATATCTTTTGTTAATTGCATGCATTTTTAACTTCCCGTAGGGTAGGTTATAATAATCTCAAAAAAATCGAAAATGAAATTTTTTATTTAAATTTACGTTTCAGAGGTTTCTGAATATTTTGGCATACCTTAGAAAAATGGATGTATGTGTGTGCGTGTGTATGTGTTTCGGATACAAATTTTCGTCGAAGATTTCGGGAACACGGATGAAGCGATTTGAATAATTCAAAAAGCATTCGATTTGTATTGATAAGGAGACGTGCTAATTAGTTCTTGGCGGAGGCAGGTCTAGCCGTTCCGATGATATGGGGAAAAAAGTGCCAAAAACGGTAACTCAGTTTTTAAGAGAACGGAACGTTCGATTTGAATAATTCAAAAAACATTTTACTTGTATTAACAAAGTGAAAAATTGATCAAATTTTCATGGAGGCAGGTCTAGCGGATTCGGAGACATTTTTAAAATTCAAAACATACCGACTTATTTATTTTCTTCTTTTCTGTCACTGCCTGTCCGATGACATCCACAACTATTTGGCGGGTTACATATCTTTTGGTTTTGGTTATGGCTCGTTACACATTTTTTGCCCTTTACTTTCAATTATTGAATTTCAAATATTTCTTTTTGAGATAATAATGGTGTGCTATTTTATAAGGTTTTGCAATTTTTTTTAAAAAATCTTGTGATTATTTATTAAAACTAAATCATTTTTAAATAAGACAAATTTCATAGTATATAAAATGACAAACTATTAACTAAATGTATGTAGCATTTTGAATATTAGTTCGATAAACTTTCCGATATGTGTTGGACTTAATCAAAAACAATTTTCAGATAAAGCATTTTTTTTAAATTATGACGATGCAATTTTCAACCACTTATTTCCTTAAAATGCAATTTTTTAATTGACGATAAACACGTTAAATATTTTAAGCGTAGTCCATTAATCCAAATTTTAATAGTTTTTTCTATTTTTCAACTACTTTCTAAATCATCTATTGTATGCCAATAGTATTTTAAGTTATAGTTACACCCTGAAAAAACAATACATTTTTTTAAAAAATAATTACGAAAAAACTAATCGCACCATTCCCAACTGATGTATACTGAACAATTTTTGAATATTCAAAATTGGTTCACTCATTTTCCTTCTCATCCATTACATGGATTTAAAATTTTGAAATCAGTGCAGTCGTTCTTGAGTCAAGAAAAGATAAATTTTTGCTCACTTTCACATAGAGACATGAACTCAAACCTGTAATTCCAATGTTGTTGTCCAACGATTGAATATGACAAAAACAGTGACTTAGATTTTCTGGCGAACACAAACTTTTTCTTCGGCGTGTTAATACAATAATGTAAATAAGAATTCATAACATTTTGTATTGCATGTTATTTTTTGAGTCAATTAATTTTTGTAAAGCTGATTTAAATATAAAAGAATATTTTTGAGTTCATTTATATTCATAATATTTTTAACACTGCGCGAGACAAATTTTTTTTTCTGAGATATGATGATACCAAAAACAGTAACAGAAATTTGCTAAAGTTTCTGTTTTTGATATATGCCAGTATGCTAGTTTTACCTCAAATAACAATAAAAAATAAAACATATTTTACATTTTATGCTTTAAAACATCTATTTATATAATTTTATGGTCAGCCATCATCATGTGGAAATCCCACCTTCGCTAATATCCATCCTCCAAAGTCCTGATTTCTTAGTAGATCTCTTGCTTTGCTCTTCGCTAATAACTCCAAGATTTTCCAAAAAGCATTCTCAATGAGAGTGCGAGTAATGAATTGAAATTAATTATCTCAAATATATCAGATTTTAATTTTTCTTGTCTTCTCTTTTAACGATGGCTTCTACATCTATCACATCGTAGGGAGGAGATGTTGATGTTCTAGGTTGTTCATCATTAAATTTAAATTCATATTATAAATATAAATATAAATATAAATTAGCATGGATAGGTTTCGTATAGCTGAACGTAAGTAGGCCTTAATGCCATTCGAATTGTGGTTTATGACTATATTTACTTCCATTACCTGAATTTATTTCATTGGTATTTACCACACAGCAGAAATAATTGTCGTGGCGATTGTCGAGGTTTTTTCTATATGACGGGGGTATTAAAATTATAGCCTTGCCTTTTCCTTCTGGATAAAAACGTAAATACTACCCAACTTTTTTACATAGTACGAAGAACCCACGTTTTATCTTGATTGCGCAATTTGGTTTTCAAGTGGTTGAAATACGATGTCTACGCAGTTCGACATAGGTTTCCGGTATTTTTAAAAAACGTATTCACCTCAGATGAATCAGTATCTAGATTATGCACACAACATCTTAGAGGCGGAGCCATACCAAAAACAGCAGACAAAACTCTTATTAATTTGTTAGGGTAGTTCCCTAAAACTCAAAAACTAGAGCTCTTACGGAAAAATGGAAGGTGAATTTGAAATCAGCATGCAATAATTCAATAAGTAGATTTGCAAAAAAAAAACTTTGAGGAAAAAAATAAAAATGCCAGTTTTGTCGCGTAAGTAATGTAATCGTTTGCATTTGTAGTGTAATCATTATTATAATTGAAATGTCCAAATGCATACGCGTTTGGATATTGCCTAATGCTAGGACAGATTTAAATTCAAATGATGAATTTTGATATAGGGTAGAGCGGGGCTAGTTGATCATAGGGGCAACTTGAGCAATCGAAATATCTCGAAAACTATTCACCATCCGTTTAAGCATTATATTGCGGAAAGATAGAAGTTTAGGTGAAATAAACATTCCGCAATCGCTAGTGGCCGCTGGACAAATGAGTGAGGCTCGCGAGCGTTTTGTTTATTTTGAGACCAAAAAGTAAAAAAGTAATTCATCACGAGTTTTTGTCTGGTTTAGTCAAATGTTATTTATTTTTAATCAGGTAAATGTTATTCTTCCATATATTTATAGTACTTTTTATATGCGCAGAGATTCTGGGTATAACTCTCACGGTTTTTCTATAAACTCACTTTTATTTTGAAATTCCGAGTTGGGGTTAGTTGAGCATAGTTGTTAAACTTGTTCTGTCACTGAGACAATTACCATTAACTTCCAGAAATTAATTATTATTTTTAAAATTTAGGAGTAATAATATAAAGAAATAATATGAGTAATAATATAAAGAAATAATGATTTTAATCAAAAATACTGAATATAATGGTAAAATAATTCTTAAGATACGATATTGTTTTGTTGATTCTACTTTTGGTTAATTATTCAAAGAAAATTACTATAAGTTTTGTTTTCTCTGTCAATAAAGACTATAAATATAGAACTGGTTATTGAAAACTTATTTTATTTCATCACTAATCGACATTGAACCTATGATTTCATTGTACTTTCTTAGTGCTCAACTTGCCCCACCTATGGGGTACATTGAGCATACTTGACTTTTTGCATTTAAACAGACGTAGCTTTTAAATTTTACTTATTACCAAAAAATAGTATTAACACTTTCGTTAAGCGATAAACAACAATTCCATTAAGCCATATAGCAATTTATTGAGACATTTCGTTGAGGAGCTACATTCGTTTAAGTAAAAATTTGCTCAACTAGCCCCGCCCTACTTTACCATATAATGAAGTTGAGACTGATATTTATTGTTCAACATTCTTCATCCATTTATATGTTTTTTAGTAAATCATCGTGGCATAACAATTTCTAAATAAAACGAAAATCTCTAAAAAAATCTATAATTTATTTCATGAATTCTGATATTCAAGTAGATTTGGCAGTCCTGAATTTTCGTTCGAATCAGGTAATGTATTTGCTATAGAACAGTGGTCGGGGAACCGGGGTAAATTACCCAAAATGGGGTAAAAGTGGAATTTTTGGGGGTAAAAAGTTAGTGTGGGTTAAAATCGTTGAACCGAACATAGTGGTCACCAATCGATTCAACAGATGGCGGCCTCAGTAAAACGAATATCGAATGCATGATTTGGCAACATTGAGCGCAGCTCCGGCGACGTGCTTAGTCGTAAGTTGCAAGAGTGTGCCTGCTTAGTCCGTGCCGTGCCGCCAAACTACATCTGTGTTTATAAGTTAGAAACCAAGTAGTTATCAGTTAATATTAGTTAGTTACTGACAAGACCATAATTTTATTATTAATCGTCAATATATCGATCAAGGTAAGCCGCAATTTGATACTTTGTTAAACGTATTCTTGTATCCTACTATTTTACCATTTTAGTATGCGAGAATTGTTGTATTCACGTATTCTAGTATTTTAGTATTCATGTATTCTAGTATTTTTGTATTGCACATATTTTTTATTTTCTTCAGATGACAGAAAATAGAAAAAGAACATACCAAGAGGAATTCCTTAATTACGGTTTTACCCAAATAGAGGACAATGGTACAATGAAACCATAGTGTGTTGTGTGTATGAAGGTACTGACACCAGAATCTTTCAAAAAAAGTCAATTAAAAAAACATTTAGATAATGTTCATTCGCAACTAAGTTCTAAACCGCGAGAATACTTCCCAAATTTGGAGATATCCATTAAAAGGCAAAGATTGAATTGCAACTTGTATGGTAACTTTGATCAGCGTTCAGCATCAAGGGCTAGCTTGGAAGTAGCTTGGTTAATCGCTCGAAATAAAAAACCATACACTATCGGTGAAGACTTGGTTAAACCAGCTGCTGTCAAAATGGCAGAGATTATGTGTGGTCAAAAGGAAGCGAAGAAACTAAACTCAGTGCCGTTGTCTGCGAGAATTGTGAAAGAGAGAATTTCTGTATTAGCAGAAAATGTGAATGAGCAAGTAGTTTTTGCATTAAGACAGGCAAAATATTTTGCTATTCAGCTAGATGAGACAACGGATTTTAGTAGCAATTCACAACTGATGGTATATGTTCGCTACAAAGGTGTGGATAATTTTGAAGAGGAATTGCTGTTTTGCTCTCCTCTCGAGTTGAGATGTCGTGGAATAGATATTTATAATAAGGTCAACGATTACTTCAAACCGCAATGCTTAAAATGGGAAAACGGTATCTTTGGATGGAGCTCCAGCTATGTTGGGTCATATTAATGGTTTTTCCGCCTTTGTAAGGAAAAAAAACCCAACTATCGAAATTACTCATTGCATGATTCATCGCCAGGCCCTTATGGTAAAATATTTAGAACCTACACTAGAAGCCGTCATGCACGATGTTATCAAGATTATAAACTTTATCAAGGGGCATGCACTAAATACGCGACTATTTCGTGAATTGTGTCAAGATGGTGAAGCTGAGTATACAGACCTCCTTTATCATACAGAAGTGAGGTGGCTCTCTCGCGGAAATGTTTTAAATCGAGTATGGACTCTCAAAAATGAAGTTGAAATGTTTTTGGTTTCTCAAAAAAATATTCTTGCAGAACATTTTAATAACTCTTCCTGGATTGCATATCTCGCATATTTGGCAGACATATTTGAAAGCATAAATATATTGAACAAAGAATTACAGGGAAAGCATTGTAATATTATTTCAGCAAGAGAAATATTGTCAGCATTTGGGTTAAAGCTGGAGTATTGAAAGCAGAAGGTAGAAGAAAACAAAATAACATCTTTTCCAAGGTTAGCTTTGTTTTTGGAGAATTCTGAAAATATTACATTAGTTGATATCAAAGATACAATAGTAAGACATCTTATTAAACTGAGAGAGCGGTTTTTGGATTACTTTCCAGATCTGGATATACGTTCTGTGAGTTGGGTTATAGATCCTTTCAAATGTGACATTTCTATGATACCAGAACAACCTGCAGGTTTAGCTGAATCGATTTTAGAACTTCGATCCAATACCGAAGCTCATATTGAATTTGGTAATAAACAAAATCTCTCATGTTTTTGGATATCAAAAGCTGCAAAGGGTTTTGAAATAGCACATGAAGAGGCGGTAAAAAAATTGCTGCCATTTGGAACCACATACTTGTGCGAACAAGGCTTTTCCAGTCTGGTAAACATTAAATCGAGAAGTAGAAATAGACTAAATGCCGAAGAATGCATTAAAATTGCTTTGACATTAAAAATCCCAATTTTGAACAAATACTGTCAAAAATGAAGCAACATCATTTCTCAAAATCGTGATGTAAGAATGTGTGCGTGTTTATTGTTACTTCATGTCAAATTAATTGTACTTATTGTTTATTCATGTATTAATAGGGTTTTCATAAGAAATATAATATAAAAAATATAGTTTTCAGTTATTGTTTCCTTCAAACCATTTGTTTCAGCCTTTTTCGAAGTTTAGAAGTAACAAACAATGTAACAAAACCTTTAATTAACAGGTTATGGCTATACAGAAATATGTGGCAAACAGATTCTAATTATACTTCTTTGGTTAAGTCGTGTTTTTTTTCTGGGGTAATGAGAGGTCGCACAAAAACATTTTGGGGTAATGGTTCCAAAAGTTTCCCGACCACTGCTATAGAATATCCACAATATCCGCATATGAATTGCGGTTTTATTGTATTCTGATATTAACAGCAAATTTGATAATGATGCGGCATTTTAGCTTTCGAACAAGAGGAAACGTATTTGTATAGTCCTCGCTGCTGCGGCTGATTTAATTAATAGTTGATGAATTTAAATTAAAAAATTTGAGGGCAACTCTGCCGCCGCACAACGTATAATCTATTGGTATTGTAGGCTTTTGGGTAGAATGCATTGTATTTTGCAGTAAATAGTTAAAAAATCTATGAGCATTACAATATTGTTTAATGTGTTTTAATAATATTCAACTTCAGTATATATTTATCAAGTGGGGCGGAGGTATAAAGGTCCAATTTTACGATTTTGAGCGATTCTATTGTTTAAACCAAACTAATTATATCACAACAAATAACACATATGGAACAAACAACTATCTGACTATATTCACTGCAACAAACTTTTCAGTTAATTCATCATTATGGAATGTGTCACTTCGCTGTTTTGAAAAAAATGTAATCCTATCCAAAAACTGTCTTATGCCCTATTTTTTTTTAATTTTGTAAAAATGTTTTTTATTTGCTGTTTATCAAAAAATTGTCCCCTGGTTTTTTATATCCTATAGGCGGGATGAATGAAACAGCAAACAGACAAATAACTTATATTTAATTTTAAAAAGATGTTACGATATAATAATAGATACATAATTTACTACAAAGCAAAATATAATTGTCATGGGCACATTTTTTATAGAGATAGCGCTATAGTGATTATCTGATTAAGGCCAAAGCAGACAACATTTTTTTAGTTTTCTCACAGCTAGTACATTGAGATCGATCTCAACATACTAGCTGTGAGAAAACTAAAAAAAATGTTGTCTGCCTTGTTTTAGTCATATGGATGATCCTCCATTTTTCTGTTTTTAATTACTTCATCCACGTAAGGTATTTTCAACTAGTACATCTGTGATATTTCGTAAAAAAATGTGTTCTCTGAATCCTAAAATATTGAACTTCCTTGCACAACCCCATGAATAAATGCCAAGTTCACGCATTTATATATCAAAACTTTATTTTTCAATGAATGTTTTATTCTGTGCAGTACAAAAATAATGTGTAAGAAATTTTCAAAGTGTTATCAATATGTTTTAAAATCTCCGACTGACTTATGTTGGAGAAGTAATTTTCTTTTCAAATCGTGTTACTAAGTTTTCCAATTTATATAACGCTAAATTTTTATTTTGAAGTTATAAATATTGGTACATTCAAAAGTGGTTTAAGTAACACATTTGAATGATCTTAAATTTTTGGTACATAAAATTTGTTTTATTAAAGTCTTAAAGTTTTTTTTATCTAGGTAAGGTAATTTCTAGCCAATATTGATTGCAAATTGAAAGATGTGCCAAGGTGCATTTGCAACATTTCTTAAAATCTTTGATTGTATGCACTGTATTTTAAAAATATTGGACTTACTTACAAAGGCTCATGAGCCAATGCCATTTTGTGAAATATAAAAATTACTAGGATGCAATTTTTAAAGAATTGACAATATATTTTAGAATCGCTACATAATTGTTCTAGAAGTTATTTTTATTTCAATATCTATTGTTGCATTGTTCAATTTATACATTTCAAAAGTTTAATATTTTTCACATTCCCGAAAATACCATTTTATTGTTCAACATTCTATAACATTATATTGAGCATCTATAAATGTCGCAGTATTATAAAAGATAAACTTTTATATTAAAGTATTTTCAAAATCAATAAGATTTTTCATAAAGTAATTGCTTTCCGTTTTCATAGCATATATTTATAAATCATATAATATATTTCACATTCCCACAATTATGACTTGTGACTATTTATATTGAGATTCTATAAAAATTATAGTATTAGAGAAAAGTCACACACTATTTATATCAAAGATTTGATAATAGTATTGTGACGATAATCAATATTATCGTCTTATTGATAATTATTGTCGCCTGATAGTCGTCCACCCCAAAGTACACTATCCCTACTGTTAACCATTTATTGGTTCTTGGGGTCCATCAGTGAGTCGCTCTGGAGAGGTCCTGGCAATTAAGAAGTAACAGCGATCTGAGACGTATCCCATAGGCAAACGCCTTGGGATACGTTAGTGTTAGTTGTGTGTGTGTTGTGCAACAAGACAGGTCCAGTTTAAAGGTCAGATCATGTAGATTATAAGCTATAGCTATTCTCCCCTCATATGTCCATATAAGCACATATACCATGAAATAGGAATAAGAGGTATTAGTTAGGGAACATGACCGTATGCAAGTACGGTCATGTTCCACAAATACATGCGGAATGTATTATTAATTATTTAATAGAGTTAGTTATAAAAGTAATCTTGGTTTCATTCGTATAGTAGCTACTAACCCCCACAGGTAATTACAGGTACTTTAGCGGGCGATTGGAGTGTTGAAGTAACCCCTTCGTGATGGGGTTGCAAGGCTAGAATATAATATTTGGCAGCCATTGCATACCCCAAGAAGGGGGCTTCAACCTCCAAATTGTCACAATGATGAAAGCGTATTCGATCCCCAACTTACAATTTTTTTTATTTTATATTTAAATAATATTTAATAAAAAACCAAGCGAGTAGCTCCCACTGTATACGTGTTTCGGTTGTATTTTTAATGCGTTTAAATTTTAAACGTCGAGAAATTTCTTTATGCTTGTGTATTTTCGTATGTATATTGCTACATGTGTTTATCTGTAGTTTTGTTTCTTAAAAGCGCGCGTATCCCGATATTTTAAGATTATAAATCATTGTTTTGATTTTGAATAAGGCTTGAGTATGAAATTTTAATAGATGCTGTATTTTAATGTATTTGTTGAACTTAATAGTATAAAATTTATAAAATAACAAAAATGTTTCATTTTTCTAATCGAATTCAATTTAAATTCTTGCTCTATTAATTTAATTTTACGTCTTCTACCCAATTTTGTTTTACAGAATTACAAATTATTCAATTATTATGCTCGAATAGAAAGCAATAAAAAATAAATAAATAAATAAGAATTATAAATTCACATAATCGTAGATGTGATTGCAATTTTTTTTTCTTTTATTTTCTTCATTTTATTCTTTTTATTATAAAAATCGCAATATATCCACAAAAATATTTTTAATTTTATAAAATAATATTCCAATCGTCGAATATATTTTTTCTCGTAAGCTCAAGTATTTCGCTTTTGGGACATTTTAGCGCACATACGCGTGGTCACGCAAAACACATGGCCATTTTCCGGAGAAATTTAGCTTCCCAGTCCTTTTTTTTTTTCAATCGTTTGGACCTGACCTGTGCGCGACTCAGCATGGTGGTCAAGTTCAAAATTTCATACTCACCCTCAGTGATTGTTAAACGGTTTGAAAATGTTCGCGCCCAAAATGCATTTTTAATCATTTTTTTTTAAACATAAGTACGGGTATAAGTACAGATAAACACGAATAGTTTTAGCGGTTTTCATTTATTTTTGATTTAGTTTTTTTATTCGCGGTTGTTAACAAACCCTGTAATTACCAAATTTTTCGATTTCAAAGACGAATGAGGCAAGATTACTTTTTACTTTTACGCGCTATGAATAAAA